TTTTTTTTTTTTTTTTTTAGTCAGAGTCTTACTCTGTTGCACAGGCTAGAGTGCAGTGGTACGCTCACTGTCACCACAGCCTTGACCTACTGAGTTCACTTCAGGCTTCCATATTGCTGGAACTATAGGCGCATGCCACCATGCCCAGCTAATTTTCTGATTTATTGTAAAGACTAAGTCTGGCTATGTTGCCCAGGCTGGTCTCAAACCCGTGGGTTCAGTCATTCCTCTCTCCTCCGCCTCCCAAAGTGCTGAGATTGGATTATATGTGAGCCACCACTCCTGGCAATCTTCAAAAATATTTTGATGACTGCGAAATATCCCATACTTTATACTCAGGTATTTATTTATTTATTTTTTGAGCTGGAGTCTCACTCTGTCCCTCAGACTGGAGTGCAGTGGCCACTCCCGGCCACCACAGCCTCAACCTGCTGGGCTCCGGCGATCCTTTCACCTCAGTCTTCCAAGTAGCTGGAACTACAGGCCGGCACTACCACGCCTGGCTAATTTTTGACTTATTGTAGAGATGAGTTCTCGTCAAGTTGCCCAGGCGGGTCTCGAACCCGCGGGCTCAGGCAATCCACTCACCTCAGCCTCCCAAAGTGCGGGATTACAGGCTGAGCCACTGAGCCCGGCTATACTCATATATTTATTTTTTGTGTGTGTGAGTTGGAGTCTTACTCTATCGCCCAGACTGGAGTGCAGTGGCCACTCCCGGCCACCGCAGCCTCGACCTGCTGGGCTCCAGTGATCCTTCCGCCTCAGCCTTCCGAGTAGCCGGAATTACAGGCATGCGCTACCATGCCCGGCTGATTTTTTGATTTACTGTAGAGATGAGGTCTCGCTGGCCAGGTGGGTCTCGAGCCCGTGGGCTCAGGCAATCCACTCACCTCAGCCTGCTAAAGGCGTGGGATTACAGGCTGAGCCACCGAGCCCGGCTCTCATATATTTAGACGAGCCACAATTTATTTTAGAAATCCCTTGACTATATGTTAAAGTAGACCACAATTTTCATAATAAATTAAGCTGCAATGAACATCTTTATGCTTGAATGTCTACAAGCATTATAGATTTTTCTTAGGAAACATTCCTTAACAAGAATGTAAAAGACAAAGCATAAGACACTTTTGTTTTTTCAGTTGGAGTCTCACTCCATCGCCCAGGCTGGAGTGCAGTAGCACGCTCATGGCCACTGCAGCCTCGACCTGCTTGGCTCAAGTGATCCTTCCCCCTCAGCCTTCCAAGTAGCTGGAACTATAGGTGTGCACTACCACACCAGCTAACTTTTTTGTGAATTATTGTAGAGACGAGGTCTCACCAAGTGGCCCAGGCTGGTCTCGAACCCCTGGGCTCAGGCAATCCTCCAGCCTCAGTCTCCCAAAGTGCTGGAATTTGGTTTGAGTCACTGTGTCCAACCTATAAGAAACTTTTTTTTTTTTTTTTTTTTTTTGAGTTGAAGTCTCACTCTGTCGCCCAGACTAAAGTGCAGTGGCTGCTCCCAGCCACCGCAGCCTTGACCTGCTGGGCTCCGGCTATCCTTCTGCCTCAGCCTTCCAGGTAACTGGAACTACAGGCGCTTGCTACTACGCCTGGCTCATTTTGATTTATTGTAGAGATGAGGTCTCGCCAAGTTGCCCAGTCGGGTATCGAACCCGCGGGCTCAGGCAATTCACTCACCTCAGCCTATCAAAGGCGTGGGATTACATGCTGAGTCACCGAGCCCGGCTAATTTTTTTTTTTTTTAAACAGGGTCTCACTGTTGCCCCGGCTGGAGTGCAGTGGCATGACCTCAGCTCACTGCAGCCTCAAACTCCTGGTTCAAGCAGTCCTCTGTCTCAGCTTCTTGAGTAGCTGAGACTACAGGTGTATGCCACCATGCCTGGCTAATTTTTGTATTTTTCATAAAGATGAGGTCTCACAATATTGCTCAGGCTAGTCTTGAACTCCTGGGCTCAAGCAATATTCCTGTCTCAGTCTCCCAAAGTGCTGGGATTATAGGTGTAAGCTACTGTGCCTGGCCAAAATTTTTTTTTTTTTTTGAGTCAGAGTCTCACTCTGTTGCCCAGGCTGGAGTACAGTGGCATGCTCACAGCCACTGCAGTCTTGACCTGCTGGATTCAGATAATCCTTACATCTCAGACTTCCAAGTAGCTGGAACTACAGGCGTGTATCACCACGCCCGCTAATTTTCTTTTATTTATTATAGGAACTAGGTCACGAACTCTTGTAATCAGGCAATCCTCTTGCCTCTACCTCCCAAAGTGCTGAGATTACAGGTGTGAGCCACCATGCCCAGCCAAGTATTAACTCCTTTTTTTTTTTTTTTTTTTGGAGTCTCACTCTGTTGCCCAGACTGGAGTGCAGTGGCTGCTCCCGGTCACCACAGCCTCTACCTGCTGGGCTCCAGCGATCCTTCCGCCTCAGCCTTCCAAGTAGCCGGAATTACAGGCATGCGCTACCACGCCTGGCTGATTTTTTGATTTATTGTAGAGATGAGGTCTCGCTGCCCAGGCGGGTCTCGAACCCGCGGGCTCAGGCAATCCACTTACCTCAGCCTCCCAAAGACGCGGGATTTGAGCCACGGAGCCCAGCAGACACCCAGCTGATTTTTTGATTTATTGTAGAGATGAGGTCTCGCTGCCCAGGCGGGTCTCGAACCTGCGAGCTCAGGCAATCCACTCACCTCAGCCTCCCAAGGCGCGGGATTACAGGCTGAGCCACCGAGCCTGGCAACTATTAACTCTTGATCACATTTTAAAATGTTCTATCAGGCCAGGTGCAGAGGCTCGTGTTTGTAATCCCAGCACTTTGGGAGTCCGAGATGAGAGGACTGCCTGAGCCCACTGGTCTGAGACCAGTCTGAGAAACATGGCAAGACCTCATCTCTACAATAAATCAAAAAATTAGCCGGGTGTAATAGCCTGTAGTTCTAGCTACTTGGAAGGCTGAGGTGAGAAGATTGCCTGAGCCCAGCAGGGCAAGGCTGCAGTGGTCATGAGCATGCTACTCTGCACTCCAACCTGGGCAAGAGGGAGACTTCAGCTCAAAAAAACCCCAAAAAACAAAAAGTCTATAATGTTTTGAGTATCCAAGAAATGTTCATCTTTTTTTTTTTTAATGTTAATCTTTATGAGGGAAAAACACATTGATAAACTGAACTGCAAAAAAGGGGTTGGAGTGGAAAGAATTACACATTCTGAAGTTTATTTCAGTATGATGGGAAGAATTGTATTCAGTGTATAATTATTTATCAACGGTACCCTCTGCTTTACCAAATTATCTCAGATTTGTCAGCCAGCCTGCACTTCAGTTTCTATGCCTCCTCAGCACCAGACTTAGCCCTGCCTCTGGTGATTTTTTTTTTAGTTGGCGTCTCACTCTATCACCCAGACTGGAGTGCAGTGGCATGCTCCCGGCCACTGCAGCCTCAACCTGCTGGGCTCCAGCGATCCTTCTGCCTCAGCCTTCCAAGTAGCCGAACTACAGAGTTCATTACCACGCCCAGCTAATTTTTGATTTATTGTAGAGATGAGATATTGCCAAATTGCCCAGGTGGGTCTCGAACCCGCGGGCTCAGGCAATTCACTCACCTCAGCCTCCCAAAGTGCTGGGATTACAGGCTGAGCCACTGAGCCAGGCCTCCTCTGGTGATTTCAAGCAGGACTGTCATCTACTCCTGAGTTTCTCTGTCCAGAGAGGATCCTACCCAACATCCTGACATCAGAAAAATCTGCCCCACCAGCATGCTAACAAGCAATGTCATCAACTGCAGGTTTATTTTCAGTGACATCTGGTCAGCTCTCTACTATCAGGAAGTGGCTCAGAAATCTTCATGCCCCTTTCTAGTCAAACCTCTTCCCACAAAGTAACTACTATTCTGACCTCTACCCTACCTGTTTTTGAATGTTAAATAAATGGAATTGCACATTTAAAAAAAAAAGAAAGAAAGAAAAAGTTGTTCTAGATGCTGGTAAGAATTAATTTGATTGGCTGGGCGTGGTGGCTCATGCCTATACTCCCAAAATTTTGGGAGGCAGAGGTGAGAGTACTGCCTGAGCCCAGGGGTTGGAGACCAGCCTGGGTAACTTGCTGAGACCTTGTCTCTATAGTAAATCAAAAAATTAGCCGGGTATGGTGGTAGGCGCCTGTAGTTACAGCTACTTGGAAAGATGAGGTGGAAGGATCACCTGAGCCCAGTAGGTGGAGGCTGCAGTGGCTGTGAGTGTGCCACTGCACTTCAGCCTGGGAAACAGAATGAGGCTCTAGCTCAAAACATAATAATACTACTAATTTAATTCAATATTTCTTTTTCTCCAGGGATTTTTTTTTTTTTGAAAGTAGGATTTATTGAGAGGACAGATAAGCTCCCACAGTGAGAGGGGACCCGAAGGGGTTGCCCTTCCCCATGGATTTTTTTTTTTAACATGAGCATAGCTGTGCTCTGCTCCACACACCCCCCATGGATTTTAAGAACAAGTTGATGAAGGTCAAATAATGCATGGATTACTTATGGTAATTCTTCACACAGAATAAAGACATCATTTCAAGAGAAAAGATGATTCTACCATAATTAAGTGTCCCAAAGTTTGCTGAAAGGAGCATGCATGACATTAGAGCTTACCTGAGCATGATGCCACCCAGACGAATAGCTCTCTTCCAGTCCTTCAGAGTGGACTTGCCAGCAAGATGAACAAAATGCTTGGGGCTGATCAACTGATCATTGAACTAAAGTTAAAAGAAAAGTACAAAACAGTCCAATGTCAACTTAGGCAGGCCATGAGGGAAAATAATGAAATGATAACTCTACTTGTTACGTACAAAAAATACCCAGATAACATCCTAAGTCATAGCCAACACTCTTTCCTATTGTGCTAGAGAAGATACTGTTTCTCTGTGCACAGTACCATTTCCTGGCACAAAGTCACAGAACACTTGAGGAAGATCAGAAATGAATATATTGATTAGCATCCAAAATTCATTTTTGGCTGGAGTCATGTATAGTGTGGCAAAGGTTATTCACATAAATTGAAATAATACATACAGCCCTAAAGAATAAGTATAGTGGAAACCAATAGCACTGCAGAGTCTCAAAACTCTGTAATTCTTATTAATTAAAATGATACCACTATGGTGACTATTATTTTTTTTTTTTTTTTGAGTTGGAGTCTCACTCTGTCGCCCAGACTGGAGTGCAGTGTCCACTCCCGGCCACCGCAGCCTCGACCTGCTGGGCTCCGGCAATCCTTCCGCCTCAGCCTTCCAAGTAGCCAGAATTACAGGCATGCGCTACCACGCCCGGCTAATTTTTTTATTTATTGTAGAGATGAGGTCTCACCAAGTTGCCCAGGTGGGTCTCGAACCCACGGCTCAGGCAATCCACTCACCTTGGCCTCCCAAAGCGCGGGATTACAGGTTGAGTCACCAAGCCCGGCCTGGTGACTACTATTTATAGGTACAGTCGTGGTTACCAATGTAGACAAAATGAGCAAATATTTCTACTTCATCCTCTTATAAGGATTATTTTTATTAATAATATTTTAAAATTTTTGGCTAGTCAATCAATAATAATTTTTACTAAACTCTACCACAATGCACAACAGTAAAAGGCATTTTACGTATATTATCTCATTTAATCTAGCAACTTTACAGTGTGTGTGTGTGTGTGTGTGTGTGTGTGTGTATGTATGTATATATATATGATTGCACCTATTTTAACATGTGAGGCTTGGCCAGGTACAGTGGCTCATGCCAGGCACAGTGGCTCATCCTAGCACTTTCTTTGGGAGGCTGAGGTGAGGGGACTGCCTGAGCCCACAGGTTCGAGAACAGCCTGGGTAACTTGGCGAGACCTCATCTCTACAATAAATCACAAAATTAGCCAGGCATGGTAGTGTGCACCGATAGTACTGGATACTTGAAAGGCTGAGGCAGAAGGATCGCCTGAGTCCAGCAGGTCGAGGCTGCAGTGGCCATGAGCATGCCACTGCACTCCAGCCTGGGCAGCGGAGTAAAACTCCAACTCAAAAAAAAAAGTGAGGTTCTGAAATATTTAACTTGCTAAAGGTCACCTAGCTAGTAACCAATACAGACAAGACTCCATTCATTCATTTACTGAAAAAATATTCACTGTTTACCTACTATGTGCCAAGTACCATTATAGGTAATAGGGGAGGGACATGTTTTCTGCTCTCATGGGACCTGTGTTCTAGTGGGAATTAAATCCAGGTCAATTTCACTCCTAAGTCCTTATTTTTTCTATTGTGACACAATAAGATAACAGCTGTAAAAGCAAAAACATTGATACAGTTCAAGACAAAGAAGAGGCCATACTCAGCCGGTCTCGGTGGCTCAGCCTGTAATCCCGCGCCTTTGGGAGGCTGAGGTGAGTGGATTGCCTGAGCCTGCGGGTTCAAGACCTGCCTGGGCAGCGAGACCTCATCCCTACAATCAAAAATCAAAAAATCAGCCAGGCGTGGTAGCGCATGCCTGTAATTCTGGCTACTCGGAAGGCTGAGGGGGAAGGATTGCCGGAGCCCAGCAGGTCGAGGCTGCGGTGGGCGGGAGCGGCCACTGCACTCCAGTCTGGGCGACAGAGTGAGACTCCAACTCAAAAAAAAAAAAAGAAGAAGTCATACCCTTTGAAAATCACACCTAGCCAGCTGGGTGCTGTGGCTCAAGCCTGTAATCCCAGCACTTTGGAAGGCCGAGGCAAGAGGATTGCCTGAGCCCAGGGGTTCGAGACCAGCCTGGGCAACTTGGTTGAGACCTTGTCTCTACAATAAATTAAAAAAAATTAACCAGACATGGTGGCGCATGCCTGTGGTTCCAGCTACTTGGAAGGATGAGGCAGAAGGATCACTTGAGCCCAGCAGGTCGAGGCTGTGGTGCCTATCAGTGCAATACTGCATTCCAGCCTGGGTGACAGAGTGAGACTCTGACTCAAAAAAAAAAAAGAGAAAAGAAAAGAAAACCAGACCCTTTGAAACCCAGGAGTCCCCAAATTGGCCTCAGCAAAAAGAAGACAATTACCTTGACACACTTCACATTTATTCCTGGACATACAAACTTCTTCCAAAGGAGGATGGCTTTGCTCTCCCCACAAGTTATGGGGTAAGCAATTTCCATATCCTCATTTGCTTCTATAGTGCTTGCATCTGAAAATGAAAAAAATTATTAGTTATTTATTGAGCAAACTTCCCCAAGGCATAAATTCAAAATTTCTAGTCTCCTGATTCCTCTGAGGGGCCAACAGTTCACTCTTGTTCGTACTGTTTAGGAAACCTCTGGAAGAAGTTTGGCAGAACAGCTATCTCTTACTATGTTCCCACTATGTGTCAGATACTATACTATATACTTTTACATATTTAATCTTATTTAGTTCTTACAATAATCTGGTGAGGCAGTAATTTGTTTCCTAGGTTTTATATACCAGCATGTGGGCCTCAGAAAGATGAATGACTCTCCTAAGAACACACAGCTAAGAAGTGAGAAAGTGGGATTCAAATTCAGGTTTGTTTAATTTCTTTCTTTCTTTTTTTCAGTCAGAGTCTCACTCTGTTGCCCAGACTGGAGTGCAGTGGTAGTGTACTACACAGATTTGCTGGGCTCAGGCAATCTTTTGCCTCAGCCTTCCAAGTAGCTGGAACTACAGGTATGTGTCACCATGCTTGGATAACTTTTTTTTTTTTTTTGAGTTGGAGTCTCACTCTGTCGCCCAGACTGGAGTGCAGTGGCTGCTCCCGGCCACCGCAGCCTCGACCTGCTGGGCTCCGGCGATCCTTCCGCCTCACCCCTCCAAGTAGCTGGAACTACAGGCGCATACTACCACGCCCGGCTAATTTTTTGATTTATTGTAGAGATGAGGTCTCACCAAGTTGCCCAGGAGGGTCTCGAACCCGCGGGCTCAGGCAATCCAGATAACGTTTTAATTATTGTAGAGATGAGGTCTTGCCAAGTTGCCCAGGCTGATCTTGAACCCCTAGGCTCAGGCAATCCTCTTGCCTCCAACTCCTACAGTGCTGAGATTACAGGCATGAGTACTGTGTCTGGCCAGGTTTGTTTAATTCCAAAGTTTCTTACCACTGACTCCCTTCTAGTCAATACCTCATTAGTTGTTATCAGCAAATTCCCTAATGACAGGGATCAATATTAAGGCTCAAATGTCTCTGTGGGATTTTTTTTTCAGTCAGGGTCTCTCTCTGTTTCCCAGGCTAGAGTACAGTGGCATAATCACAGCTCACTGCAGCCTTGACCTCTTGTGCTCAGGCCACCCTTCTGCTTCAGTCTCTGGAGTAGCTGGAACTATAAGCACATGCCACCACACCCAGCTAATTATTTTTATTTTTGTTTTTTACAAAGATAAAGGCTCACTATGTTGCCAGCCAGGCTGGTCTCAAACTCTTGGGCTCAAGCAATCCTCCTGCCTTGGCCTTCCAAAGTGCTGGGAGTGCAGGTGTGAGCCACTATGCCCAGCTCTTTGTAGGATTTTTTTTCATAGATCAAAAATCTTTTCAGCTATCCTGGCAATGTGATGTTAAACAATCAACAGACAGTCCTAGCATCTTTTTTTTTTTTTTTCAGTTGGAGTCTCACTCTGTCGCCCAGACTGCAGTGCAGTGGCCACTCCCAGCCACCGCTGCCTCGACCTGCTGGGCTCCAGTGATCCTTCCACCTCAGTCTTCCAAGTAGCTGGAACTTCAGGCGTGCGCTAACACGCCCGGCTAATTTTTTTATTTTTTTTGAGTTGGAGTCTCACTCGGTCGCCCAGACTGGAGTGCAGTGGCCACCGCAGCCTTGCCTGCTGGGCTCCGGCGATCCTTCCGCCTCAGCCTTCCAGGTAGCCGGAATTACAGGCATGCGCTACCACACCTGGTTGATTTTTTGATTTATTGTAGAGATGAGGTCTCCCTGCCCAGGTGGGTCTCGAACCCGTAGGCTCAGGCAATCCACTCACCTCAGCCTCCCAAAGGCGTGGGATTACAGGCTGAGCCACTGAGCCCGGCTGATTTTTTTTTTTATTGTAGAGATGAGGTCTCACCAAGTTGCCCAGGCGGGTCTTGAACCCGCGGGCTCAGGCAATCCACTCGCTTCGGCCTCCCAAAGCGTGGGATTACAGGCTGAGCCACTGAGCCCGGCAGTGACCTAGCATCTTAATGGTGTCTCTAAATGTACCACCATCAAGCTGAGGACTGCAGTACTGGTAGGACATATTGGGATGGAGGAAAAACATAAAGCACAGAAGGTAAGAAAACTCAACAAAGAAAGCTAAGCGCAAAGGTACCAGAACAATGAAAACACTTACCAATCCCTTCTTCAATTTTGTGTATGGTGTGAGTTTCTACTGCTACAACTGCTGTGTTGTTCTCCGACCCAGCTTCATAAATCCTGTTGTAAAAGTGTCCATCGATAAACAAACTACATAAATCATGAAAAAATTAATATTCACAGCATGGGGTTAAGAACTTTGTTTTAATCTATCTCAAAAGGAATAAAACAAATATACTTTATAACTCCATGTTAGTACTTAAACTAGTTCCCCAATGTATTGAAACTTCAAGCTGCCCAGGACTGCCTGGCAGTTACTACCATGGAAATGAACCAACAGCTTTCCTCACCTCAAGGAAAGTAATTCTTGCTACTTTATTTACACCATTACTTATTACTGTATTACACCAGACTCTTCCCTTCTCATGACATAGTGCTGCTTCAAGTACATATTGTTAAGTCATACTGTAGATTTATCCTGTCAAGACTAAAAAGTTAATACCCACAGACAATTGAAGATAGGAAGAACCATGTTGACCATAATAGTTGATGTCCCTTGTTGGAATCAAAACATTTTGTCTCTCTCTCTCTCTCTCTTTTTTTTTTTTATTAGCATTTTAACATTTTTTTAAGGCACTATAACCAAACTATTGGAATTAGCAAAGTCTGGTAGAAAAAAAGTAAGAGAGAAACCATGCCCAAAGTAACTAGCAGTAACTATAGGTACCATTTAGGGAAGATTATATAGTGCAGAGATCACTCTAAAATGTCTCTATTTTTATGAACTCAGATAACCTAACATAATACATTGACATTTGTTGTTTAATTTCTATAATAAACCTAATAAGTTAATTACTGCACCTTGTTATTTGAAAGCATGGCTTGAATAATCTTTGCATCAATGACTATCCACTCTATGGTGATACCTCTAGCACAGACCTCCCCTCTGAATTTCACATCAGGACACAGCTAATGGCTAAGTGAATAAATATATTTGGATAGCCCACAGGACTCTGTTGAACTTATTATGTCTAAAATAATCACCAAGTTCTCTTCTCTTTCCCACTCCCCAAACTATTTTTCTTCCTATACCCTCTACCCTTGTTAACAGCACCACCCAGAACATTATAGACAGAAATCTAACCCTAGACAGAAACCTGGGAATTATACTAGATTTCTCCCTTTTCCTCCTCCTCAGACATCAGATACATCTTATTTTATTTTGTTTTTTTGAAGTCAGAGTCTCACTCTGTCACCCAGGCTGGAGCAATGGCACACTCATGGCCACTGTAGCATTGACTTGCTGAGCTCAGCCTTCCACCTCAGCTTTCCAAGTAGCTGGAACCATAGGCATGTGCCACCATGCCCAGCTAATTTTTTATTTATTGTAGAGACAAGGTCTGACCATGTTGCTCAGGCTGGTCTCAAACTCCTGAGCTCAGACAATCCTCTTGCCTCCGCCTCCCAAGGTGCTGGGATTACAGGCATGAGCCACTGTGCCCAGCGAGATGCATCTTTTTAACAACAGCCACCTTTCCTGCTTCGATCTCCACTCCACTCGATCTCATCATCTCTAGTCTGGACTAGTCTCCTTACATCTAACTGATATTCTACTTACCCAGAGTGATCATATAATTCCCTCCTTAAAACTTCTTTCTACTCACTCTTAAAGCCCCAAATCCTTCATATGACATTGAAGCCCCTAAGATCTGGCCCCTGGTTTCAACTCTCCCCAGTCCCACCTTACAATCCAAGCCCCAGCATTACCACACTATCTGTGGTTCCCCAAACTGCCATCTTCTTTTACACATTCTATCATTACTCTTACTTCACCCTCATTCCAGAATATTCCTCCTCCACTATTTGTCTTTTTTTTTTAATTGGAGCCTCACTCTGTTACCCAGACTGGAGTGCAGTGACCGCTCCCGGCCACTGCAGCCTCAGCCTGCTGGGCTCCGGTGATCCCTCTGCCTCACCCTTCCAAGTATTTGGAACTACAGGCGCGCGCTACCACGCCCAACTGATTTTTGATTTATTGTAGAGATGAGGTCTCGTCAAGTTGCCCAGGTGGGTCTCGAACCTGCAGGCTCAGGCAATCCACTCACCTCGGCCTCCCAAAGTGCTGGGATTACAGGCTGAGCCACCAAGCTCAGCCTATTTGTCTTTTAATAAGTAGCCTCTATGATGCTTTCCCTTCCATTCCAATTCTTTCCATATAATCACTCTCTTTGTCCTTTGTGATCCAATTGTCCTTTGCGGTTTTTGTCACAACACTTATAACCCTTAATAATAGGATCAGTGGCTCACGCTTATAATCTCAGCAATTTGAGAGGCTGAGATGAGAGGATTGCCTGATCCCAGGAGTTAGAGACCAGCCTGGACAACTTGGTAAAACTTCATCTGGGCAATAAATTAAAAAATTAGTCTGGCATGGTAGCACATGCCTGTAGTTCCAGCTACTTGGAAGGATGAGGTGGAAGGATTGCCTAAACCCAGAAGGTCAAGGCTGCGGTGGCCATGAGAACACCACTTCACTCCAGCCTGGGTGACAGAGTGAGACTCCAACTCAAAAAAAATATTAAAAAAACACAATAAAACAAAACAAAACTCACTTAATATTTACTTGTTTATCTGTATGTCTCTCCTTGAGTACAGTCTAAGTCCCTGAGAGCAGAGATTATGCATTATTCATTTATTCAATTCTGTATGTCCTGTACATAGTTTATTGAGTGGAACATGGCAAACCACCCAATAAGTAGCTGTTCAAGCTGGCCCCAGTGGCTCACATCGATAGTCCCAGCACTTTGGGAGGCCAAGGCGAGAGGTTTGCCTGAGCCCAGGGGCTCGAGACCAGCCTGGATAACTTGGGGAGACCTCATCTCTACAGTTAATCAAAAAAATTAGCCAGGTATGATGACACACACCTGTGGCTCCAGCTACTTGGAAGGCAGAGGAGGATCACCTGACCCTGCAGGTTGAGGTTGCGATGGCCATGAGCATGCCACTGCACTCCAGCCTGGGTGACAGAGTGAGATTCTAATTCAACAACAACAAAAAAAGGCATTCAATGAATGAAGATTGTGATAAACATGAGAAACCATTGTTTCAAATAAGATTAGTAAATTCATTCTAAATTGGCCAATATGTGAAAAATCCCTTAAAAGAATAAATTCTCAGTTGGGTGCCGTGGCTCATGCCTCTAATCCAAGCACATTGGGAGGCCTAGGTGGTAGGATTGCTTGAGCACAAGAGTTCAAGATCAGCCTAGTAAACATAGTAAGACCTCATCTCTACAAAAAATAAAATAAAATAATTTCTCATATATACAAATTTCAACAAGTAAACACTGCTTGGAAGTGAGAATTAGGGTGCTTAGACTGCATTTTTATGAGTAAACAAGATTTTATAAGGGAAATATTATCTCAAACAACTCTGAATAGTGATGTATTTAGCTTCTCTATACCTGTTACAGCTATAGTCAAAAGTCATAGGCCGGGCATGGTGGCTCAAACCTGTAATCTCAGCACTTTGGAAAGCCAAGGCGAGAGGACTGCCTGAGACCAGAGGTTCGAGACCACCCTGAACAACTTGGTGAGATCTTGTCTCTACAACAAATTAAAAAATAAGTCAGGCGTGGTGGCAGGTGCGTTTAGTTCCAGTTACTTGTAAAGCTGAAGTGGAAGGATCGCCTGAGCCTAGCAGGTTAAAGCTGCGGTAGCTACCGAAGGATGCCACTGCACTCCAGCATGGGTAACAAAGTGAGATTCCAACTCAAAAAAAGAAAAGAAAAGAAAAGAAAAGAAACAGCTGGGCTCAGTGGCTCAGCCTGTAACCCCGCGCTTTTGGGAGGCTGAGGTGAGTGGATTGCCTGAGCCCGCGGGTTTGAGACCCGCCTGGGCAGCGAGACCTCATCTCCATAATAAATCAAAAAATCAGCTGGGTGTGGCAGCACATGCCTGTAATTCCGGCTACTTAGAAGGCTGAGGCGGAAGGATCGCCGGAGCCCAGCAGGTCGAGGCTGCGGTGACCTGGAGCGGCCACTGCACTCCAGTCTGGGCGACAGAGTGAGACTCCAACTCAAAAAAAAAAAAAGAAAGAAAGTTAAATGGTATTGTATCCTAAAGCCAATCTACTGTTAATATGAAAGTATCATCCTTTTTTTTTTTGAGTTGGAGTCTCATTCTGTTGCCCAGGCTGGAATGGATGCATGCTCAGGGTCACCACAGTCTCCAGCTGCTGGGCTCTGACAATCCTTCCGCTTCAGCTTTACAAGTAGCTGGAAGTGGGCGGGCTTGGTGGCTCAGCCTGTAATCCCAGCACTTTGGGAGGCCGAGGTGAGTGGACTGCCTGAGCCCATGGCAAGTTCAAGTTAGACTTGAACTCAAAAAATAAAAAATAAAATAAAAATAAGCTGGGCATGGTAACTCACTTTGAGGTGAGAGGATTGCTTGAGCCCACGGGTTCGAGACCCGCCTGGGCAACTTGGTGAGACCTCATCTCTACAATAAATCAAAAATTAGATGGGTGTGGTAGTGTGCGCCTGTAGTTCCAGCTACTTGGAAGGCTGAGACGGAAGGATCGCCGGAGCCCAGCAGGTCGAGGCTGCGGTGGCCAGGAGTGGCCACTGCACTCCAGTCTGGGTGACAGAGTGAGACTCCAACTCAAAAAAAACAAAAACAAAAACAAGTAGCTGGAAGTATAGGCATGCACCACCATGCCCGGCTAATTTTTTTATTTATTGTATAGAGGAGGTCTCACCATGTTGCCCAGGCTGGTCTCAAACCGTGGACTCAGACAACCTCTTGTCTCTGCCTCCCAAAGTGGTGGGATTACAAGTATGAGCTACCATGCCTGGCGGCAGTAACTTTTTTTTTTTTGAGTTGAAGTCTCACTCTGATGTCCAGGCTGGAGGGCAGTAGCAACTCAGGGCTACCACAGCCTCGACCTGCCAGACACAGGCAATTCTTCTACCTCAGCCTTCCAAGTAGCTAAAACTACAGGCATATACCACCATGGCTGGCTAATATTTTTGTTTATTTTAGAGATGAAGTCTCTCCAAGTTACCCTGGTTGGTCTCGAACCCGTGGGCTCAAGCAATCCTCTCACCTCAAAGTGAGTTACCATGCCCGGCTTATTTTTTTTTTATTTTTTATTTTTTGAGTTCAAGTCTAACTCTGTCACCCAGGATAGAGTGCAGTGGCGCAGTGGCACACTCACGGCCACCACAGCTTTGACCTGCTGAGCTCAAGCGATCCTTCCACCTCAGTCTTCCAAGTAGCTGGAACTATAGTCATGTACCACCATGCCCAGCTAGTTTTTTTATTTATTGTAGAGACAAGGTCTCACCATGTTGCTCAGGTTGGTCTCGAACCTGTAGGCTCAGGCATTCTTCTCTCCTCCGTCTCCCAAAGTGCTGGGTACAGGCGTGAACCACCACACCTGGCTTGCCAGCAACATTTTTTGTTTTGTTTTGTTTTTTTGCGTTGGAGTCTCACTCTGTTGCCCAGGCTGGAGTGCAGTAGCATGCTCATGGCCATCCCAGCATCAACCTCCGGTAATCCTTCTGCCTCAGCCTTCCAAGTAGCCAGAACCACAGGCGCACACTACCACGCCTGGCTAATTTTTTGCTTTATTGTAGAGATGAGGTCTCACCATGTTGCCAGATTGGTCTCGAACCCACAGGCTCAGATAGTCCTCTCGCCTTGGCCTCCCAAGTGCTGGGATTACAGGTTTGAGCCACCGCGCCACCCATTTTTTTTTTTTTTTTTTTTTTTT